CAGCATGGGTTTTCCCAGAAGGGCACTTTACAACCAGGAAAGCCGCTTTACAGCCAGGCGAGTAAACGTACAGAAACGACAGATGTCCTTCAATTTCCGAAATCTCCGTGGGTCCACGTAAGGGAGACACTTCGCTCTCTGAAATGTGTTGGTTGTAAAGTGACCTGTCTGAAGCGAGAACCTGCGAAGTGGCGAATTCCTAATGGCATCCAACAGGAATCCTAATGGAATTCTATTGACACCCTTCCAACTGGGATCCTAGTGGCACCAGATGAATCCCATTGGTATCCAACAAGACTCTTCGATATATGGCCTGCGGGTGTCCTATTGGGATCCGATAAAGATGCTTCCTATTGAAACCCGTTGAGCCGTTCCGAATGGAAGCCGATTGGAAACCCCACTGGCCCACTGGAGTACAATCGAGAAATCTTCCTAGTGGAATGCCGCGGGAAATGCACCAGGGGTAGTAGATGGAAATTCGGTGGGCATCCTCGTCGGTACCCGTTCGAAAACAATAGGAAGCGTCTTTCTTGGAATCCAGTCAGAACCATCTTGGCGAATACGAAGGATATCGCATTGGAATCCAATCGGGGTCCTTCCTTTTCGAATCATACGGGCATATTACTGGGATCCCACCAGAACCCAACTGTAACGCAACAGAAGCCTGTTCTCCTTGACTCATATTGTGCCCCGATTGGCGTCCTATTGTTATTCCTGTGGTATCCAAAAGGAGCTATTGAAACCACATTGAAATCACATAGAGATCCTTCCGCTACAGGCTGGTGACAGGCCTCGGCGTTTAATTCTTTGAATTACGAACAGCCGTTCCATGCCCTAAATGTACCTCGATTTTTGGAGCCTCGCAATATTTGCCTGAAGGTCCTGTTTATTCCCTACCTAGGCTCTGCCTAGAAGGGTTCTTACTCTCTAGCTAAAGGGGCCGGGCAATGGAAACCGCCCCGGGCGGTTCCCCCAGTCCCCGCCCCGCGGTTCCCCCAGTGCCTTGGGAGCTTTAGCCTTAGCTTTAGCTTTAGCTTAGCTTTAGTTTTAGCTTTAGCTTTAGCTTAGCTTTAGCTTAGCTTTAGCTTAGTGTTAGCTTAGCTTTAGCTTAGCTTTAGCTTAGCTTTAGCTTAGCTTCAGCTTCGTGTTAGCTTAGCTTTAACTTAGCTTTAACTTAGCTTTAGCTTAGCTTTAGCTTAGCTTCAGCTTGGCTTTAGCTTAGCTTTAGCTTAGTGTTAGCTTAGCCTTAGCTTAGCTTTAGCTTAGCTTTAGCTTAGCTTCAGCTTAGCTTTAGCTTAGCTTTAGCTCAGCTTCAGCTTAGCTTTAGCTTAGCTTTAGCATAGCTTCAGCTTAGTGCTAGCTTAGCTTCAGCTTAGTGTTAGCTTAGCTTTAGCTTAGTATTAGCTCAGCTTTAGCTTAGCATTAGCTCAGCTTTAGCTTAGCTTTAGCTTAGCTTTAGCTTAGCTTCAGCTTAGCTTTAGCTTAGCTTTAGCTTAGCTTTAGCTTAGCTTTAGCTTAGCTTTAGCTTAGCTTTAGCTTAGCTTTAGCTTAGCTCCAGCTTAGCTTTAGCGTAGCTTTAACTTAGCTTTATTTTAGCCTTAGCTTAGCTTTAGCTTAGCTTCAGCTCAGCTTCAGCTTAGCTTTAGCTTAGCTTTAGCTTAGCTTTAGCTTAGCTTTAGCTTAGCTTTAGCTTATCTTTAGCTTTAGCTTTAGCTCAGCTTTAGCTTAGTATTAGCTTAGCTTTAGCTTAGCTTTAGCTTAGCTTTAGCTTAGCGTTGGCTTAGCTTTAGCTTAGCTTTAGCTTAGCTTTAGCTTAGCTCCAGCTTAGCTTTAGCTTAGCTTTAGCTTAGCTTTAGCTTAGCTCCAGCTTAGCTTTAGCTTAGCTTTAGCTTAGCTTTAGCTTAGCTTTAGCTTAGCTAGTTTAGCTTTACTGTTACTACTAATGCTGCTTTCCTAGGGGCTCCAACTCCTAGGTAGGGTCGCACTGGGATATTTTTTTTGTGTGTGTTTTGTTTTAGAAATCGAGAACAGTAAGCGTTCGCCTTAAAAAGACGCAGAGGAACACGCAAACTCCCATGAGTGCGGAAATCTGGCCAAGAAGTCGTTCGTGAGATCTTAACCAATACATGCGCCTCATCGTCTGGCCATCAGAAACCATGTTTGTCATCCCGCCGCATCGTCTTGCAATCGCAGAAGCAATTCTGTGTTCATAATTGCGGAAGCATGCGTTCCCAGGAGGGCAGAAATGTTGTCAAGAAACCGATGGTACAATTATAGCCGATACATGTGGATTTCAATTTGGGTGTTTGGCCTCGCCAGCAACTGTAGTCCTCGCGCCTCAACGTTTCGCAATGACAAAACCGTATGTTTTTGCATTCGCGGTCGCATGCGTGCCCAGGAGGGCGGAAATGTGGAAACGAAATTAATGGTAACACTCGAGCCAATATAGGTGGATTGCGAATTGTGGTTTTAGCATCATCGACCATGCTTGTCCTCGCGCCTCATCGTCTGGCAATCGCAAAAACCGCGTGGTTTCGCTATTGCGAGCATGCGTGCCCGGGAGGGCGGAAATGTGGCCAAGAAGTCGATGGTAACAATCGAGCCACTTCGTGTGGATGCCAATTTGTTGTTTTTGGCCCCGCGGACATTTTTCGTCCTCGTGCTTCATCGTCTGGCAATCGCAGAACCGCATGTTTTCGCATTCGCGGAAGCATGCGTACCCAGGAGGGCAGAAAGGTGGCCAAGAAATCGTTTGTAAAACTCCGGCCAATGCGTGTGGATTTCAAATTCTGTTCTTGTGCGTCATAGGCCATGCTTGTCCTCGCGCCCCATTGTCTGGCAATCGCAAAACCGTATGTTTGCGCAATTGCGGAAACATGCGTGCTCAGGAGGGCGGAAAGTGCCGAAGTAATCGTTGGCTAAATTCTAGCCAATGCATGCGGATTTCATTTTGTACGTTTTGGCATGGCAAGCAGTTGTTGTTCTCGCTTTGCAGAGGCTTCAGAGCGCTCCAGAGCGTTCCGGCGCTCCAAAGCCTTTGCAAAGCGCCCAGGCGCTCAGAATCTTTTGCAAAGCGCCCAGGCGTTCAGAAGCCTCTGCAGAGCGCTCAGGCGCTCAGAAGCTTTTGCAGCAGAGCGCTCAGGCGCTCAGACGCCTGTGCGAAGCGTTGAGGCGCTCAAAAGCCTTTGCCTCTGCAGAGCGCCCAGGCGCTCAAAAGCTTGTGCACAGCGCTCAGGCGCTCATGAACCTGTACAGAACGCTCAGGCGCTCAGAAGATTCTGCAGATCGCCCAGGCGCTCAGATGCTTCTGCGAAGCGCTCAGGCGTTCAGAAGCCTTTGCAAAGCGCTCAGGCGCTAAGATGCTTCTGCAAAAAGGCGTTCCTTCGCTGGTTGTAAAGTGACCTTTCTCGGTTGTACCGTGTCGTTTGGGTTGTAAAGAGACCGGATCTCCCGCCCCGTGACCTTTCTGGGCCCCAGCGCCGTCCGACATCGCTTTGGGGCAAAAGTCCCGTCGCAAGGAGGGGGGGGCAACAGCAGGGGGGGATAGGCTCAGGGGGGAAATGCGTCGACCTTCGATCGCCCGTGCAGCGCCGATAAGGGGCTCCATAGCCCGCTCCGCCCGTGGCTGTGCGGAGTTGCTATCGGGGCCCACTGCCGATTCATCGGCGATGCATCGCCGATTCCGGGTCGATGCTGCCCCCCCCTGGGTTGGTCCCCCCCTGGCCGTGTCTCTCAAATCTGCGAGGTCCAGCTTCCCTCTGGACCATATTCGCTGCACAGCATGCCGCCTGAGCGTAAGCCGCCGTGTGCGGCCGCATTGTCCTCTCGCGTGAGGCCTCTTCCATTTCGCTGTTGCACCCGGCTGGAGCATCAGGACGTCTCCCGACCCCGGGACCATAATGGGCCTGGCCAGGACTTTGGTGCCCTCCTGCCGAGGCGGCTCAGCGCCTCCCCCCGCGGCGTCTTGTCATCGTCGTCGTTGTCGTCGTCGTCGTCGTCGTCGTCGTCGTCGTCGTCGTATTCTCGTCGCCGCTTGCAAGGCGCTGAGCTCCCCCCTCGAGGCGGAGCGACTGCACACTGGCGCGCTGCTGCGCCAGAGGGAACTTGCAGGTCGGGCGGCTGGCAGCGGGCGAGGAGGGATCGGAGGACGTCAGCTTAAGCATCAATTTCGCCCTTCTAGGCCCCCCCAGCTGCAAAAAACATTTTTTCAAACTGGGCGATTTGTTTCGTCCAGTTTCGGGCCCTGGGACCATCACAGCTCGATCCGGCTCGACAAATGCCGCAGAAAGATTGGGTTTGGGGTTCCAGTCGTGATTTCTCGCAATGTGCCACTTTGTGTTGCAATGTCGGATCTCAGGGCAGGGCGGGCCCTCGTTGGCCATGAAGGAGGCGGGTCCTCAGGAAAGCGTTTTTTTTGTTTTTTTGGGGGGTTGTTGTTGTTGTTGTTGTTGTTGTCGTCGTCGTCGTCGTCGTCGTCGTCGTCGTCGTCGTCGTCGTCGTTGTTGTTGTTGTTGTTGTTGTTGTTGTTGTTGTTGTTGTTGTTGTTGTTGTTGTTGTTGTTGTCGGGGGTTTTCCAGGTCCTAGGGGTTGCCCAGGGGTCTAGGACCCGTTTCCTTCGGGACCCGTTTGTTGCTTGGCAGTTCGTCGACACGGCCGTGTTCGCGTAGATTTCTTGGCCAGAACACCTTGCCTCGGGAAGCGTTTGGGTAGGCCAACCATCCACCTCCCCTTTGTGACGGAGCGCCCCATCTATGTGCAGTCTTGTTGCCTCGCTGCCTTCCTTCCGCTCTCTCTCCACCTCTCTGCTTCTGCACCAGTTTGCCACGCAAAAGAAAACAGGCAGGCTTTTTTGTCGCGTCTTCCGCCCCCTTGGGCTTCCAGGGGCCTCCAAAGGGCACCCTGGGGGCCTCCAGAGACTTCAGGAGACCCTCGGAGGTCGTCGTCCTCTGCGTGGCATGCAGGTGCGGGCCGAGACAGGGGCCGAATTTCTCAAGCCCAGACTTTCTTGTTCGAGACCAGGGGCGTCAATCTGGCGGGTCCAGGGCCAGGATAAATCGTTCCAGGGCGCCCTAGGACGCTCCCAGAGCGTTCCGGAGCGCTTCGGAGCGGCCGCGGCGGCCGACCCATCCTCCAGCGCCGCCAGATCTCAGAGCTCCCCGATTTATCCCGCTCCGATTTTGCCCTGGTTCTGGCTTCGTCTTAGCCGGCTGCCCTTCCCCTTCTCGAGAGTGATCGTGAACGGATGCAGATGACAGCGCTGCAGAGGCCTTCGTTGGAAGCATGGGCAAGGGCTCTCTTTGGGATGATGTCATGACGTGCCTGGAAACGGAGCAAGATCAAGGCGAGCTTGTTATCTACAGAAACGGATTCGTGCTGCCTGCGATGTCGAGCCCGATGCTCTCGATCAGGGGGCCCTCCAGTTCTACGTCGCGATGATCGACGAAAACGAGGCAGAATGAGGCGAAAACAGCAGTGCGAACAACGCCGGTTAGGACTTGTTGGCTGCGGTCGAGCAAGCTGGAGGCCCCCTTTCGGATTTCGCAGAGTACGTTCGGAAATCCGCATACCCATTGGCGATGGCGGACGTGTGCGAGAGTTTCTGTCCAGATGTGGTGAAGGCGATCTCTTAAGCTGCCGTAGCAACAGAGGACATCTGTGCAACGTCAGACTTGAATTTGCTTTCGGCTTGCATTTTCGAGACGGCTGTACCCAGTGTTCGTGAGTGCGGCACGAGCCCCGCCGCAATCATTCTCCAGGAGTGCGAGGAGATCGTGACCAGTGCCGCCCGGCGTTTTTCAGTAGGCGACTAGTTTGACGAGGACTGCGACTTCGAGGAGCAGGAGGATGTGATGAAGGTAGCGACGATTCCAAACGGCGCTCTCAAGCAGGAAACAGATCTTGGGCCACCCATGCCCGTGGTGTCCAAGTTTTCGGATGGTTCAAGTTAATTAGCTTGACCTCGTGGATCTCGATGATGGCGCGCGTGTTTAGCTGGCTCGCATCCTGAACTTAGAGAGTCCGCCAAGGACAGGCATGATCCTGTTCAGCTCCACGTGGCCAGTCCCTGGCGACGAGATCGAGAAGGGGGAAGGGCTGCTACACATGCCCGGGGTCGACAGCCCAGCTGTAAGCAGGCGCCTCTGACTGGACTTGAAATGTCTAGCCCTAAACGTCGGGCCAGGCTGCGTGTTCTCTGTATGATGGCCTAGGTCGGGCACCACCTGCGACCCCATCGACAGTAACCCGCCGTGCAAGTTTGCCATCGCTGTGCAGATCCAGCTCTGGGTGCTTTCGGCGGGCACCCTCGCGGTTGCAGGGGGCGGGTGCGCCAAAGCGTGGGCTTTCGCGGTGCCGAAACCACTCGACGGCGGCGTCTGCATCTCTGGCGGCATCGCCGATGGCCTGGGAAATAGTTGTGGAAACGAATTCCCATTCACGATCAACTGTAGAATGGGAATAGAAGCTTACGTTGGCCTGGACTTTGGTACCTTCTCGTCTGACCTCGCAACGATTGGGGCCGAAATTGGCGCTGGCGTAGCACATTACGAGACCCACTGCTGGTAGGATCGCCGTCTTCGACGCTGTTGGGGGGAGGCAGCAGGAGGCGCAACTACGCCTGCGACTTCCGTGTTTATGGCAAGGCAGTGTTCCCGTTGTTATTTTCCAAGATGTTGGTCCAGATCGGGTACAGGCTTGGTCACACATATTGGAACTTCATCATCGGTCTCGATGCGTGCTTCTTGTGGCGGCGCGGGACCATTATTGTTGCGATGGTGTTCTGAGTGGCGCGGACCTGGCGAAACACCAGCGCGTTAAGCACTTGAGCGAGAGTTAGCCTCGCCTCACCTCCTTTACTTGCACCTCCTGCCCTATCCGCTCTTTCCACCCACCTTGTCTTCTTGCAGTATTTCGATTGAGGCCGCCTTTTGGCGTTCGTTTTTTCCGGCATTCGTTTTTCCCAGTTCATGCTTTGAAACTGGCGAAGCGCACTGTGAATTGAGGCAGATGTCGGAAACTATATTCTGGTTGTCAGTTCGCTTGCGACATCTACCCTCGTCCTCACCATCGTATTTGTCCTCGTTGCCGCCTTCCCTCCTTGTCCTCCCTCCTCCTTCCCCCTTTTCGTCCGTTTTCTATTGCCCCCGTGTCCCTCCTTCGCAATGCTTGTCATGGCGTGATCTTCTCACGATGCCAGTGGATCATGATTTCACTTGGCATGTGAATGCAACCGAGGTGCTTGCACAATTTTGTTGCCTGGTGCTCTGCGCGCTCAGCGACATTGACTGAGCTTCGAGGCTGTTTTGAGACAGACGCCGCGAGCCTATATTCTGGCTGTTAGTTGGCTTGTGGTTGCTTTCCTAGAGTGCACGCCCAGCGTGGTACTTCACGTCATGCTGCCGAGGATTTGCCCGATCCTCGCCCTCTTCTCGTGATCTTTAGGCCTCTTGCGTTCTCCGTCCTCCGTCATTCCTCGTTCCTCCTGCACGTGTTCCGCCATCTGGCGTGACAGCGCGCGCAATTTGTTTCAAGTCGGCTTCTTCTGACGTGGAGTACAAACCGGGGGGCCCCCAACAGGGCTTAGATTCATGGCGTCTCGGAAATATATGCCCCTTAGAGGTTCTTTGAGTTACTCAGGAGGCCTCTCAGGGGTTCTTGTGTATTTATCATGCTGGGGCGCTTGTCTGTCATGCGTGCAAACCGACTCGCGCGCGAAACTCGCGTGGTTCTATACGTGTGTGTGCGCATATAGAATGGCCTTGAGCCCACCCGCCAGCGTGCTTGGGGTGTAGGTCAGAGGCCTCTGGGATGCCTGTGGGGACCTCTTTGGCAGGCTTCCCGAACGCCTCTCTGATTCGGTGTTGGGGTGTCTTTGGGGCATGTTGGGGATCTCTCAGGGCCTCTGGAAGCCTTTCAAGTCTTTCATGTGCTCCCCCCGTGGGTTTGTTCGTGGCAGCGTCGCCCTCGACGGATCCGCGCCCCACCCTGGTGGCACTGTCCTTGAGAGCGTGCTGGATGGGCGCTGGTGCAGAGTTGTTTCTGGGATGCGGTCCTTAAGTTCGACGGGAACAGCATAAGCATACTCGTAAGCTTTCGAGGCTCCGCGCGGGCCTTCGACATCTAGCGATCCTGTTGTGAGTTGTTGGGCGGGTGTCCGCCCCTCTGCTGTCCGCCCCTCTCGTCCGACCCGATGGGCGGCCTCCCTTCCTCTGCGCCCGGGATGCCGTCGTCGCCCCGTGTCGTGAGTCACCCCCTTTCTGTCGCGGGCTCCCGTCGCCAGTTTCCGCACCCACCCCCCCGCAGTGTTGCTGCCCCCGCGCGTTGTCGTCGCTTGGTTCTCGGCGGGCACCTTGGCGTTGGAGTGAGCCCCCCAGATCCTCCCTCCGTCCATCTGCGCCCCCTCGCTGGCTGCCCGCCCACCGCTGCCGCCCCCCTGCCTTCGAGTCGGGCGTATCCCTCTGCAGGAGGAATCTTCAAAAATAGCAGAAAATTATCTGGGGACGATTTTGTGACTATTTCTGTATATTTTTGTTTTTGCGACTACTTCTTATTTTTCGTCCCGAATCCGCCTGTAGGGGGACATGCCCGACCTGAGCACAAACTTTCGAGGCCCCGCGCGGACCTTCGAAAGTCTGTGTTCCTGTTTCCTGCCACTGCGCTGGTGTCCGCCCTCCTGCTGTCCGCCCCTCTCGTCTGGCCCGATGGGCGGCCTCCCTCCATCTGCGCCCCCTCGCTGGCCGCCCGCCCACCGCCGCTGCCGCCCCCCCTCCCCCTCCTCCCCCTCCTCCTGCTGCTGCTCCTCCTCCTCCTCCTTTTCCTCCTCCTCCTCCTCCTTTTCCTCCTCCTCCTCCTCCTCCTCCTCCTCATCATCTTTTTCCTCCTCCTCCTCCTCCTGATGCCCCCCCTTGCCCCCAGGGGAGCGGCTGCACTACGAGCTCCTGCGCGGCCGCGGCCCGGCCGCGGGCTGGGTCAGCGCACGCCTGCGCGGCCGGGCCCTGGTGGTCCGGCGGCAGGGCGGCGCTGCCGTGGAGGCGGCGGAGGAACGACAACGGTGCACATGCACAGGGCTCATGTCGATTCTTCCGATTCGGTTCGATTCTATTTCGATGGATTCTGATGCGATTCGACTGCAGATGCCGATCTGGAGTCCGATGTCTCCATGAGGCCTTGCTAATCTGCCGATTTCAGCCGATTCGAATCCTCCCGACTTGGCTGCCGAGTTCCGCCGATTCGGTTAATTTCGATCGCCGATTCGGTTTATCGATTCGATTCTGGGCTCTCCTGCACACATGGATGGGTGGTCCTTAGGACTAGGGGAACGAAGAATGTCACAAACATTGAACCCCAGAGGTCCGCGCGGATTTCTAGTATCCGTGCTGGACCCCCCTGCCTGGCGCGCGGAGCGCGCCAAGGGCGGCGGGTGCAGGAGGCGCCGCCAGGGGGGTCCAGCGCGGATCCTAGATATCCGCGCGGACCTCCGAGTTTTTATGTTTATGCCATTGTTCGCTCCCCTAGGGACGTGTGTTTGCCCAAGCGTGTGTGCTTGTTCGCTGCAGCTCCGCCGATGGAGCGCAGTCTCTGTCGGCCCTGGTGGCGCCGCCCGCGTCGCAGTGAAGGGCCTCGGTGGACAAGCACACGCCGGCGCTAACACGCGTTCCGAGGATCATCGAACCGACCCTGCGATCGGTGCTGGCCTGGCCAGGGAGGCAGCCCCAGACATCTGGCCGCTCCAGTTTTCTCGATGCGTGGGCCCCGGGGGACGGGACCACTTCCCCGGGGCCGGTTTTTCGTCCCGAGTCGTCCGTGCACGCTCCGGAGGCCTGGCGAGGGCCCCTGGAGGCCGAAAACTGTCCAAATCCCGCCGCTCCAATTTTTTTCGACCGCCGGATCTGTGGGGCTGCGCCGATGCTGAGAGTCCACGATGGGCCTGGACATGCCCGGGGCATGTGCACAGTTCTGTTCGCCCGAAGGCTCAAGTCGGGCGTGCCCCTCCACAGGAGCCATGTCCAAAGATAGGCCAGAAACAGCCTGGGGATGCTTTCCTGAGAATTTTTGTTCATTACTTCCATATGGTTTCTGGAGCATCTGGGATTTTTCGGCCAAGAGCCCCCCCTGCATGGGGGACAGGCCCGACCCCACCGAAGGCAGAGGTCCCCCCACCCTGCAGGGGGACAGGCCCGACGCCACCCGAAGGCAGAGGCCCCCCCGGCCGGCGATCCCGCCGCCCCGTGCGGGCGCCAGCCCGCCGTGGGCAGCTCGGCGGCCGCGCCGCCGCGCGCGGGCGCCGGCGGGCTGGGCGCGGGGGAGCTGCGCGACCTGCTGCGGCGGCGGCACGGCGTCAGCGCCGAGCAGCTGGAGGAGACCTCGGCCCGTGCGCCCCAGCTTTCGAGCGGGGAATCGACGACAGAATCGATTGCTTTACCCCGAAATCGGTCTCCTCGTCGAAAGGTGCCGAAAAAGACGCAGCGTTTCGCACGGAGTCGACGGAGAAGAACCCCAATTTCGGAGTAAATCAATTCTGTAGTCGAGCCCCTACTCGAAGCTTGTCCCTCGGCCTCCCAGAGGGCCAAATATGGGAAAAATATTGGAAGTGGGGGGGAAGACAAAAACCCAGAAAATATGGAAAACATGGTGAATCCTGTTATTTGTGTGTATTTCTTTGTGTGTCCCAGGGCCCCTTCACTCTTTCCACGCAGCTGCCAAAGCACGGCGCGGCTCGGCAGAGGCTTTGAACATCGGATCGGCGCGCTTCCCGGGGGTGGGGACGAGGCGGAGCGTGAGCGAGGCCGAGGAGGTGGAGCCCTGGTTGGCCACGAGCTGCCCCAAACGCTTCCACTCGCTGCCATTAGTGCCTGTCACACTGCTGCCATACCCTACACTGGTCTCCAACGTGGCCTTCGCCATGCGAATGACCAGCTTCAGTCTCATCATCTTCCTCAGAGCTCCCAGACGCCGGGAGCGGGCCACAGCAGCTGCAATACGCTCTCGTTTAGTGCCCCGACCAAGCCTCCGACCCGACTCGTAGTCCACCCCAAGGTTCCTTTCAGGGCGCACGTATGCCACAGAGACGAGACAGACCTGCCTTGATCTCTCGCCTCATGGGGGCCGAGGTGGCTAAAAACCGTGTTTTGTCAGAGGCGATGACTAAATCTACTAGCTCGAGCTGGCCCTTGAGCTCAAAATCAGCCCTATCCAGGTTAGCTTTGACGCGGTCCTGGGCCTCAACACGTTGCAGCCCGATGTCATCGACCACGGCCCAGAGGGCCATAGTCCTGACAGCTTTTCGAACTTCATCCAGCGGCTGGAGGAAAATCAGCTGCAGCATAGCAGTGGCAAAAACACAGCCTGGCAGAACGATTTGCTCAGACAGAATAGGCTCGGACACAAAGATGCCCATGTCTAAGATGCGCGGCTGACGATGAAGACTGATGAGCAAATAGAGAAGGCGAGGGGGGAAACCCGTTCGAGCAGCTGCTGCCAAAAGGTGGTGGTACCGAAAGAGCTCGAACGCCTTTTTCAAGTCAACCAATACAGTGTCCGACGACATACCCTTGGCCTGAGCCCACTCGGCCCACGCAGCCTGCACCCACACGCATTTATCGGCGGCTTTGCCTCGGGTTCCCCACGAGAAACTCCTAACATTTTGTCGCTGCCAGTGGCGGAGTTCCTCTCTCCGAAGACGACACAAGACTCCGGCAAGAACGTGCAACAGCGCAATCGGCCTGAAACGTCCAGTGCGTTTAGCAAGGAAAAACACCTTGGTCCACATTTTCGGCCACTGAAGTCGGCTTTCGGCTATGTGCAAAACCTCGCAGAGCGCCTGGATCCCATGATCCCCGAGCAACAGGAAGTGGCGGGGATTGACGCAGTCATACCCTTGGCCCGTGGTGGGCTTGAAGTCGGGTCGCCTACGGCCCCGGGGGAAAGCGTGCATGGGAAGGTGAGAAGGAGAAGGCCTTCTCAGAAGGCGGTGGGACTTCTCAGAAGCCCTCGCGCCGTCTGAGAGGCTGGGGGGCTTCAAGCCTTCTGAGATGGCCTTTTCCTTCTCGTTTCCCCCCCTCGCTCGCCGCCAGGTATCTTACGGAACAAAATCCTGGGGAGGCTTGTCCAAGGGGGCTCGTCGGGGGGGCTACCCGGATCCTGGCAGGGTTGTCCGGGGTTGTCCGCGAGGTTGTCCGGAGATTTTTCTGTATCGAATTTTATGTTCGTCGGACATAGTGAGGTTTCTCGCTGTTTTCGGGCTCTCGGGGCCCTCCACGGCCCCGGGGCTGTCAGAAAACGACTCTGGACAAGTGGCACGCGTGCCCTGGCTCTTGCACCAAGGAGCTGCGAGTGACAGGAGGCTTTCGCCTCCTTCCTCCAGGATTTTCCCTCTGTGGCCAGGGGGGGGGGGGCGAGAGGGGGGAGCACGAGCGACGAACGAGCCAACGGCGACGAGCTAAGGAGGTCCGAGCTCTGGACCCCAGAAAACGGCCGTGCGAGAGCAGCAGAAGCTCGTCCCATGGGGGCCCGGGGGCCCGGGGGAAGTGCCCCGGGGTCCAGGGCTCTCGTGTCCCTCGGGACCCGCTTCCCCCCTGCCAGCAAGATCTCGCCG